TATTTAGACTTTTGTATTCAAGCGTATTAAAAAATGATTGACAAATTGTATGTTCTTACAACGTCAAATTTATGTACCATCGTGAAATGTTTTTGATAATAAACATATCTTGTACGACTTCAATGACTTACACCATTTTCAAAATTGATAGTAAAGCCTAGATATACACAAAAATGATGAATTTTGTTTTAAAATACGGTAAATAAATGGACTTACGTATTTACTTGTTTCATATATTCATATTACATGGTATTGCATATAGGTTGTATTTTTTTATAGTAATTACCGAGAATATATTATTATAATATTGCATAAGTTTATATAATAAACTTACACCATTTTCAAAATTGCTAGTAAATCCCAGATATACACAAAAATGGTGAATTTTGTTTTAAAATACGATAAATAAATGGACTTACGTATTTACTTGTTTCATATATCCATATTACATTGTATAGCATAGAGGTCGTATTTTTTTATAGTAATTACCGAAAATATTACTATAATATTGTATAAGTTTATATAATAAACTTACACCATTTTCAAAATTGCTAGTAAATCCCAGATATACACAAAAATGGTGAATTTTGTTTTAAAATACGGTAAATAAATGGACTTACGTATTTACTTGTTTCATATATTCATATTACATGGTATTGCATATAGGTTGTATTTTTTTATAGTAATTACCGAGAATATATTATTATAATATTGCATAAGTTTATATAATAAACTTACACCATTTTCAAAATTGCTAGTAAATCCCAGATATACACAAAAATGGTGAATTTTGTTTTAAAATACGATAAATAAATGGACTTACGTATTTACTTGTTTCATATATCCATATTACATTGTATAGCATAGAGGTCGTATTTTTTTATAGTAATTACCGAAAATATTACTATAATATTGTATAAGTTTATATAATAAACTTACACCATTTTCAAAATTGCTAGTAAATCCCAGATATACACAAAAATGGTGAATTTTGTTTTAAAATACGATAAATAAATGGATTTTCTTGTTTCATATATTCATATTACATGGTATTGCATATAGGTTGTATTTTTTTTATAATAATTACCGAGAATATTATTTCCGGCTGCCAAAAACAAGTCGAAGATAAAGAAGAGTAACATTTTTTCATTTAAGCTTTGTGCGTGCGTGTGTGTGTTTGCGAGAACACTGAGTCGAAAGATCTGCCGAGTTCGCGCGACTTGCAGTACAGCGGGAAGTAGAATCGGTATGTTATGGTCAGACGCGCCACTTGACTCCTGTTCGATAGTATCATTTCTTAACCCAAGTTTTCTCGGAAACGGAAGCTTGAATGAAAAAAATTTCTCAATATTTTCGACTACATTTTTTCACGTAGAATCAGCACCCATAATTGTAATTAGAAGATCGATATTGCCATGCGTTTGCTACTCCTGCAACAGCTAAGGAAATATCGAAGGAGAAATCCAGACTTACGATAAATCCCAATTAAGAGTACGACAACATCGCAAAGTGACTCCGACGATCGGTATCGTTAATGACGACTGCAATGAGTCATGATACGCCGTCGTCGTCGTCACGAGTAGCTCGAGTCGCGTTGATAATGGGCAAATAATATTCACGATCCGCGAATCGTCGTTAACAAGCAACCCCTCGAGCGGACGATTCGAGTTTTAATTGTTACACGTACGTGACAGATACCAGCATCTTGTTCCGAGCAGTGTGACGAGGAGTGCCAGCAGTCAGTACTCGAAGAGCGTACAAGTGTTTTCCACTACGCCCTTCGCCCGACCCTTCTTGCAATTCCCGACCCCTTTCGTCTGTCCTCGCGGATGCTCTTCGCCGAAGTCGATCCGCGAAATTCTGTTACCCCGCTGTTTCGAATTTCACCGCTCGCGTTTTACTCGCGCACCAACGCTCGTTGCGTGAAACACGCTGGTAATGTAACCAAATTTCGTAGCGCTTCTGTCTCCATTGGGAGCTTTAATATCGTGGAAGCTTCCATCGCGGAGACAACAATACGGACACGGAGGTTGTCAAATATATATTGTAAAATATATTGCTTATGAATGGAACATTAATTTTGATAAAGAGATCAAATATAACATGTATTGCACATTTTTATTGCAAAAAGACGTCTTAATAGTATCGTTATGAACGCTTTACTCTGAATTCGGGAGAAAATGCTGTTATTCAAGCGTTTGTTAACACACTGAACGCGTTTTATATCTGCCAATTTCATCGGAACAGTTTCAGGAAGTCGTTCCGATTATTTTTCTAGCAAAAAAGCTACAACAATGTGTACACTTAGTACGTTTTCCGATAAGATACACATTTAAAAAAAAAGAATCCGCTAACTTCATCAGAGAAAATTGCTACGCAAACTTTCCTTCAGATTCTTTACTTTCACCATCTAAAAAAGAATTCGTATCGAGAGCTATCCGCCTATTTCCGTGACTCGTTTGTTACAACTATACTGCGGATATTTGTGCAGAATAAAAACTTGTTAGCTCAATTATCAAAAGCAGAAATGAAATAAAAATATATTAGTTTTTTTTATTAATTTTAATGAGCCGAAGAGAAGATAGCAATGCTATGAAATGTTTCGAATGTGTTTACATTTTGCTATTTTTTCTAGTCAGTTTTGTCATAAATATTAAATCATTAAGTATAAAATGCGTAAAGTTTACAATAAAATTATACAGTGCAATATGCATTTCATACTGAATGACTTAATATATTAAATCCGCCGTCTAGTTCTAGACTGTGAATTTTCATGTTAAATAAAATTTGTCTGCATACATAGACATTTATTTCTTTCCTACATAATTTCAATGTATTCAACATTGTACGACAATATTGCCATATTCTTTAAATATTTTCACGGCTTCTAATTTGATCTATCCATTTTATGCAGAATTAAAATTTGTCTGCTTTAATCGCAAGATGCAGGAACTACACAGACATTTATTTCTTTCTTTAATAATTTCAATG